ATTTTGGTAAATTAAAGAGTGTGTGACGTCATTTAGTCTGTTTTGTCTGATTTTTTTTTCTAAAACTTCATAGTCCTTTGGGACCACAATTAATCTGAAGTTTACTTTCCATAGTTTTCATATATTTTACGGTGTCGTTATAGAGTCTAATAATGCGAACTGAACTCCCGGGATCTTTTTTGAAATATCATTTGCATTTTATTTTAGGAATGTGGAAAGAACATTTATTATAACGATCAAGATTTTGAAAAGTAAATGCAAGTTTAAGTTTGACAATCAGTCGTAAGCGTTGTGCAAAATTCATATGAAATACGAATATATCTTTAACCCGGACAGTGTTGTCAATATTTTGGCAGCTGGCTTCAGTACAATGTAGAAGAAACTAATTATATAATCAAAAAAAATTTTTTTTGATTTCTGAATTACTAACGCAGATGAAAAATCTCTTGGGTAATTTATTTGCTAAGGCTTAGCAGAACAAAACGTGTACACTTATATCTTTAAGTGTAACTTTGGTAACATCACTGATCAACGACTTATACGCCTTAAAAACCGTTAAACATTATCTGCAGATGCTAAAATATTGAAATGGGCCTTTGGAGTATACTTACGGTAATCCCTGGTGATATTGTATAATAGCAATACCAGTATTGTAGGACGTGGAAGGATTCCATCTTTACTTTTTCCGACGCTATCCTCAATTTAATAAACCAGAAATAGAAGTGTATTTGTTAACGGACGTTTCTGTAAATATTTGAAGGACAGAAAAGAAATGCTATAAATATAATTTTCATTCATAATTCATCGATTCCTACAGAGAGGTCAGGCGTCATTCAGTTGGTCAATATCATTGATCATCGGTCAAATAGAGGAAGACAATAAACAGTTATTTACAGTTTACATTCTGATTATAAAATATTGAAAGCTAAAATGAGATAAAAATTTCAACATGGTCATGAATTAATAGCCTTATTTATCTGAATGTTTAATTAATGTCTAAAATTCGTAACAGAAGGGACTGAAATACGTATTTCCTTATTAAGATATTTTAAAAGTATAAATTATCATAATTTGAATTTTTCAGGTCTGATTTGAAACATATCTTCGATTATTTTAATTGTTGCTTCTTTACGTCGAATATTATCAATTTTATCGGAGTTGTGACACTACTTTTGGACCAACCCCCGTATATTAGCGTTGTGAGTTCACCAATTTTTTGTTTAAAAGTCATGCTCGATATTTAAAATAATTAATGGCTTCCTTCACAAAAACTTGTAAAGCAAACCTGAACGAAATAAAGCAGTAAAACTAAGTCATTAAAGTTCTTATTAAGTACAGTTTTTTTTGTTTTATCCTCTAATTTTTTAACCACAACTTTATGTTTCCAATTTTACACAACCACGAAATTTCTAGGAAATTGTCTATGGATAAGATTTCTATACAGAATTTATAATAACTCAATTCTTTGAATTCATATTTAGATATAAGTTTATTTAAGGCTGTGAAAATATGAAATGCATGCAACGAATCGATAACTGTACAGTGCAGGGGAACTTTTTTTACAGTATCAATGCTGAATTGAATGCTTCTTATACTTGCTGATTCGAATGCTTCTTAAATTTGGCTAGTTATTCTGATGCTACTTTTGCTTTTTTATAACTAGGTTAATATTTTAGAAGTTTCAACAAACTACTAGTAGTATAGATTTTTTTCAGTTTAAAGCAATATTTGAAATAAATATTCAGTTTTCTTTCCCTGTTTTTTAACTTCTGAAGAAAAAATTAAAGCAATATTTGAAATAATTATTCAGTTTTCTTTCCCTGTTTTTTAACTGATGAAGAAAAAATTATTTACAGTTTGCATTGTGATTATAAAATATTGAGAGCTAGAGAAAAAAGTTTTTTGACATGTTTACTGAATGTCTAACATTCGTAATAGAAAGGAATGAAATAAATGCTGAAGAAAATTCATTCATCTTCTGAAACTTAATAGGTTAATGATGATTTTAAGTTGGTTACTGCTAGTTCAATCCATTGCTTGCTGATTCTGATCCTGATGCTAGCCGAAGGCTGATGTTAATTTACCTCAAGCTGATGCTGATTAATATAGCAAAATTAGTTCCCTGCACTGTATCTTAGTATTTTCAAACAAGGTATTATACTTGTGATATTTATGTTCCCCAAACGAAGTTGGGGAACATATTGTTTTTACTCTGTTTCTTATTATTATTATTTTTCTTCTTCTTCTTCTTCTTCTTCTTCTTCTTCTTCTTCTTCTTCTTCTTCTTCTTCCTGGGTACTTTTTTGTCCGGGAGTGATCTTGTAAACTGTTGATCAAGCCTTTTTAGGGTCAGTAGACATGTTAAGTAGATTGATCAAGGTCATTTTGTGCATGAAAGCGCGCACGTGATCATGTGAAATGACCAATATAAAGTATATTGCCTTAACTTTTCTATTTTTTGATGAAATACCTTATATATTACATGCTTTGATTCCGCCATGCACGTGCGCTCTCTGATTGCCCTGCTTCTGTTTTTTGAGCTGTTTGTCCATGCATAAGGATATCCTGCACATGGTATATAGCAATTATCATGAAAACACGTGCATGCACGTGCGCTGCAATCTGATTGGCTGAAACTTTAAATTGCTATAACTCCCTTGGTTTTCAACCAAACAGGATAAGATTTGGAAAGTATAATCATTTACATTTGCACAGGCATAATTTTAATCTGATTGGCTGAAACTTTAAACAATATTTTCAACCAAACAGGATGTTTTTATATATACTTTCTAAATGCTATGGTCAAGAAAAATTGCGTGTACATGCGCTGCTCTGATTGGCTGAAACTTTAAATAGGTTAATGCTGATTTAAGTTGGTTACTGCTAGTTCAATCCATTACTTGCTGATGCTGATCCTGATGCTAAAATCAAAAATACACTTGAATGCTTTTTTTATACTTTTGTTATATTTACCATATTAAAATATATAGATTGTGTAAGCAATATGATGCTGATTAATATAGCAAAATTAGTTCCTTGCACTGTATCTTACTATTTTCAAACAGGGTATTATACTTGTGATATTTTTAATTTGGTTTAGTTGGGGCTCCATCCATGTGCAAGTACTAACATTTTGGTTTCTTTACATTTTACATGTTGATAAGGATGTAAGAAAAATATTTTTATGTAAGTTTCAATATAGTGTATATTCATTTGAAGGAATAGGAAATGACCAGCGGATTTTCGAATTTTTAATAATACTGCAAAGGTTTGTGTTCGTAATGATCACTTTGGCAAAGATTACCTACCAATTATTTCATTCTTGTTGTAATGCGTCATTTGATTGGATAAAAAAGTTGTCTGTATCATATAATCTGTGTTGCCTACGTCACAATAACTTACGTCGATGCGCTTGAGGATACATTTAAAATACATTTAAAATTTTGTTCAATTTGAACCCTTATTTGAAATATTGTTTGACTTAATTTCAATATTTCATAATGGATACAAGGAATGAATTTAACAGCAACTTGTGTAACTTGGGTTGGAGAAGTCTACGCTATTTATAATAAATAGCTTCGCGGTTTATAAAGCGTAACCTGTCCCCACCCAGGTTATACATTATAGCTGTAGCTATTAAATTAATTCCTTAACTGGTTTGTACTTCGACAGACAATGTTTTTATGTCAAATGCTAGGCTATCATTTTTGAGATAATTCATCATTAGTTTAGTCCGTATAGGTTATCAATACAGAGGGCTCATGGCAGACATAACCTGTTGACAGGGGACTATTAAGGAATCAAGAAGATCTTTCATTTGTCTTAACGTAAATTTTTTGTACTCATCGTATTATATTTTACGTCATAACTCTCACTTTATTTATACATGTATAATCATAAAGAAAGAAATACACATAATACATGTATATTTCTGCTGGAATGTTGCATCTAATGATTATCTAAAATAAGAAAGAAAATTTTATTATTGAAAATTATCAATAAAAAGATTGATACTGTCCTTTATATGGCACTTCAATTTTGCTGTATGAATTATAAAATTATAAAATAGATTTTTAAGGGTAAGTCTTTGAAAAAGCACGATTGTAAACATATATTATTTATAAAAAAGAGCATATGTCTTTCTCCACACATTTGTTCACTTATTTGTAATGAAAATTAAAATGAATTTAAATATCTGTCAAATATTTTTTTCAGTGACTATTGCCCCTTTTTTCCCAATAGTATCATTACGGAATGAAAAATGTAATTACATTAACGAAAAACTGTTTTTATATGATCGATATCCATGCAAAAAGCATTAAATTGGAATATTTATTTACCAAACACACAAATCCAGATATTTTCAAAAACTAAATTTATTTATAACAATTGTACAATATCTTTTGAATTTAACAACATTTAAATACTTAAAATTATAAGGTATGCCGACACAGACATCAAATCAAATTTAGTCATAATTAACGAAACGTGAAAACAGTAAACTGAAAAGGCAAAGCTGTAATGAAACAATGCAAGGAAGAAGAAAACTTAAGCCAAAAGCAGAAGTATCACATGTTAAAAAACTAATTCTAAATGTTTTAAAATGATACAACAGCTTTTGAATATGTAAATTCTACTGTAACTATGATGATTATGTTCTTGAAAAACATGTCTATTTAAAAGTAACCAAGTGAAACTATCACTTAGATACAATTAAAAGGAAAATCAGAAAAAAATAATATCAATATGTGAACACCGGTAGCATTTTAAATATCTATATATAACATGAATTAAAATCTGCAACTTTCACAATACGATCACTTTAAATGGCAAATGCAAATAAATACAGAAAGAGTTTGATTTACTTTAAGCATAAAATGGCCCCGTCCATGTATCATTTAATTGATCAAAATCTAATTTAAAAACCTACAATGAATTGAATTTTTTTTCAATAATAAAGTTACATTTAAGAAAAGAATTAAAAGTAAAGCGCGGTCCTTGGTTGAAAAAAATGCAAAATTTGAAAAGATGAATTTTTTACTTAATGGGTATAAAATAAAAAAAAAATTGTACTTGGATGAATTTTAAAATATAAAGATTGGAAATTTTGTAAGAGGCAAGATAGACACTTATGATTTTATATATCAGCAATATCTTTTATTGATTATGCATCATCATTTTGACTTCGTAATAAAAAACATTATCCTAGCACCAGTGTATCAAATTCAATCTAATGTAAAAACATTCTACTTCAATTTAGGAATATCCGTTAAATCCATATTCACAAAATGCTATATATAGATCTACGTTTGAAATCATCTTTATAAATTAATGATTTGTATGGGGTGATAAAAATATCGCACATATAACATGGAAATCACATTTTCTAAACAAAATAATGTTTGAGAGACAGTTTGATTTGTGAACATATTCATTTTATTTAAATTATGACTACTGAGTTAAGGTTTACTCAGGGCTCATTCTGCTTGGTAGGTTTAATCCTTGTTAATGTGATTTATATTCTTATATTATATATGAATGTAAAAAATTGATTAATTGTGTCTTCATAAGTAAGGAACACGAATAAGAATGTCATTTGTGATTAAAAGGGATTTCTGAAATTACGGAATACTTTGATCCAACAGTGCAAACGAAGCACTCAAAAATGGATTTGTTCGGTAGAATTATAGTATAACAATATTGAACTCTAATCGAGATTCATTTGAACAGCATATCATTACATGTACAAACAATTCCTGATCACAAAATACAATCATACACACGATCATAAAAATATGCTATAAATTCAATTACCCGTTAAAACACAAGAAAAATTCACACTAATATTGATCATTGTATATGGCACTGGCATTTGTTAACTCTTACATTAGGTATAGACAGAGTGAACTCAATGCCATCTTTGTATTTGATGTCAAGGTTAAGTGGAGACTTCTGTGTTGATTTACATACAGTGGCATCCTTTGCAAGGTCAGAGGTCATGGTATCAAAGCTTTCGGAACACTTCGTGCATTCCTCATATGTAAAACCGCTCGGAAACAGAATATCCTGAGGTAAATGTAAAGTACTAAAAGGAATAAAACGGATTCTTTTGCAACATTTAGTAGCACAAGTTTTAAACGTATGTCTGCGAAACCTTTCTGATATCCCCTCTCGTTTTGAAAATAACAATAACCTTGGACGATTTTTTCTTAATTTTATCTTTCTCATTTTTCGTCGACGTTGATTCTTCTTCTTCTTCTTCTTCCTTCTTTTAGATTTATTTTTTAATGGAAACTCCACCTGTACCTTTTTGCTGCATTTGTTGCAATGAATACAGATTTTCAAAACTTCCATTTTTTGTCTTTTGATTGATTTTATCAAAGTTGATGGGAGATGAATATTTTGCCATTTTGTACTTTTAAGCTTGAATTTCCTACTGGCAATGACAGTTTGATTATTATTATTATCTATAAGAGACACTTTCAGGGAGATCTTTCGTTTCCTTTTCCTGTTTTTTCTCTTCTTCACTTTGATATAAACCCTTATATCTCCATTGCTTAGTTTGACGCCTGGATCCAGATATTGGACTGGAATTGGGAATTGCATGCAACTTGAGTCTTTTGTAAAATCTGAAAATAAAAACGATTCTTTAAAATTCTTTCTATTAGCTAGACTCTTATTCTTTTTTGAAACATTACGAAAGTATGTAATTCTGAAAAAAAAAATTCCATTTAAAGGCAGGATTTTGCAAGTTCTGTGGTAGGATTAATGTCGGATTCTAGCGTGAATTCGAGCGATTGATGACTTTTTAATTCCAATTGTAAGTCGTTTTCTTCATATAAAGTTGTCTAAGGATTTTCCCGTTTGCTAGATTATATCAAAGAGCTTTCGAGTGTGACCTAAAGAGATCAGATTTTGAATCCTCTTAATCATTTAATTCCACTGTTCATTGTTTTAGGGATACTTGCTTTCTGTGCTTTATTCATTCGTTTTGTGTCTGTTTGTTGTTTAACGTCCCTCTTGAGAGCTTTTCACTCATGTGGAGACGTCACCACTTGCAGGTGGAGGACTGCAAATTCAATTTATTCCTATAATTGTCACTGCGGGCCATTGAACGGTGAGAGATCTTTTTCGTACCATCACCTACTGGGACATGGTACTTCAATTTATACCGTCTCATCCGTCTGTATGCTATAGAGACAAAAACATGCGAAAAGTTTGCCACTTGTTGTGCATTTTCTTGCAATAAAAGGTTTCAATCGATATCACTGAAAATGAGTAAAAAAAGATAGCTGGCAAGAATGAAAAAGATGATCTGAAACAGAGATCGATATCAAATATTCTTATCACAAAATAGTGAAGAGGACGTATAAAGCACAGACCCTTGGAAATTCTTGACGTCGGGTCACGTGCCTACAAGAAGCAGGTATCCCTTTTGACCGGTTACATACCCTATGAATCCTACATATTAATTAGATAGACGAAACATTCCGTAGTCAAATTCAGTATTAATACAATTCAGTCATAAACGACCCATTATAACGTTACGTTTACAAATAAGGTCTTTATAAGGAACGAACACACTGCCCTTTTCTCATAATTTTCAACATTTTTCGTTATTTTTATCATTTAAAAAAACAATCATATGATTTGATAATTTTTCTCTTGGAAAGTGGAGAAGTTAAGTAATTAGAATGAAGAAATGATCAACATCCTAAAAACCTTATTAAACGTTTTTCCTGTCGGAAATGAGTCAATCGTTACCTGCAGGTTCGGACAGTATGGGCTCATCAGGCGTGTTGTCTTTTGGTACTTGTGGCTTTATAGTTGAAGGGTAGGTTGATGGCTGTTGATTGGCCTCACATTTTAGAATATGGCAAATTTGTCTCCTGATATAATCTTTCCTACGTTCGGCTTCTAGATAGGTATGAATACTGACACCTCTTGAGCGAGATGAATTTGAATATCGACTTGAAATATTTCCAACTGTTGAACTGGCACGATGATCTTTTGTTAAGAAAAATTTCGAAATTTGTTGGGATATTTCAGCAGAGCTGAGTTCCAGTACACACCATACTAACGGAATCAGTATTTTCATTTTACACTGACGTCAATTTCAGGTTTGTAATATCTTCCCTGAAAAAAGAAATCAAAGAAAACTTTTAGTCTTCTCATCAGACACATGGATGGATTAGAGCATGTCCCGTATTTTTTGTAAGTATAACTTGAATGTTGAAAATTTTCTTTGAAAGGCTGGTTGGTTCTCCAATATTGTTGCAGTATTGTTCATAAAAGAAATGTGGTTATAAATAAGGAAAAAATTGTTTTAAAAAATATGTAGGATCCTTCATCCTCTACATCTCCCAAGAATTAGTAATTTTGGTGAAAAAGTCCTATTTTTTCCATATTTGTCAATTGTTTATGGTAAGATGTCAATTTTTGTTCGGGCTTCATCCCAAAACCTTCACTTTCATAAATGATATTAGGGGTTTGCTTAAACGAAATATATCAACATTACTACTGGTGAAAATAAGAAATGTTGACGCATTCAACAGATCGAACGTACTTTTGGTTTATTGTAAATACTGGATACGGTTGAGTAGGCATATATTAACTTTCATTATAATCTGTATTCTGATCTACAGAAATACTTCATCACTAATTACTGATAGCCTGAAAGCACTTACAATGAAAGACGCTAATTAGGTAATTCTTCTTATGCAGATTATTATTGTATCAAAAACAGCATTTGATGCCCAATATCTTCATAGGTTTCTTAGCAAGATCAAAAGTAATATTACAAGTGTAAACAACTGTCTTTAAACAATAGATGACGTTTTCAAACTGATGCAAACGTGAAGATCGTGAAGCATTTTATTTGCTGATTTCTAATCGCGTTTAAGCGGGACAAAAGAAAAATAAACCATAACAAATTATTAAAATAATAGATAAATACAAATAATATTATTATTAAAGACACATTTAATTGGGACATATTTTGAGAAGGTGAAGTTTTTAAGGTGTGATTGCATTGAAAATCATGTAATTAAATCTCAGAATAATAAGCATACATACTATTCGGCAGATGTCTAAATGATTCAAGATATAAAGCATTGCAATTGCTTAAGAATGTTGAATGACTGAAACATACTTTATAGTTTTAATTTGATTTGAAAAAGTATTTACAAACATTATTTAATTATTTAAAATGTTTTAAAAAGTTTTTCATACCTTATAACAGAATATCCTCCAAATTTAATTTTAAAAATATCCTTAAACTTTCCAGGGAATAGATTTCGAAAAAAAGCTTTTTGTCAAATGGTAACTTGAAAATGCTTTTCAGTCCATTATATAGCAGCACGGAAATTGTAATCGATGCAGTACTAGTAAAAGCGGAGACAAATTTTATCAATGAATAACGGCATCGATCAGTAGGCGGCTAGACCTTCAAGACCTTGAAAATTTGATAACCAATCAAATTATAGTTTCAAACATCGCGAGACTTCAACAAATTCTCATGGATTTTTGAAAAAAGTGTTGACAAAGGAATTATAAGAATACTTATAATGAATAATTCATGACACCTCTGGAGATACCTTTATTACTTCTCGGTCATTTCTTTCCAGGGGGGTTCGCAGTGGAAACTAGGTTCGTGTTTTCCCTACTTTCTTTTACTAGGTCAGGGAACGCAATTATATCGATTCGTACTGCGACGAAATATATTTCCGTTTGTTTGACTTTTTATATCTCTTACTTAATATTAAAATAACCATATTCTTATATCTCTTATATCTCTATATCTTCATCATCTGCAACAAGTTCATTTAGTTGATATTACTTTTATTTTATTCAGAACTCATAACGTTACCTTGAATCGAATTGCCATATCTTTTCGTTTTAGCATTAGTTGTCATTCTAAACTGGCAACAATACGCAAGTTATTGCAGAATACGCCAGCGAATTACTGCCCGTTCAGAATATTCTGTACTCTGTCTGTATGAGATGTTAAGTCGTACAAATGACAATATTGCTTAATTCAGAGGAAGATTTCTGGTTCCCATGGTAACAAATGTTACGAAGTGATATTGCTTTTTCCTTACCCAAAATAATAAATATTAAATTCATTTGGCAATTTTTTTTTCAAGACAAATGTCAAGACACTGTTGAGTCTGCGTCACTGGATTATTTCCAAATTTCAAACCATCTTTATAAATTCTAGTGCAGTAGTAATGTCTGCTGAAAAGGGTAATATATGCAAAAAATATGACTTTTTTATTGTAACTTTTGAAATATGTGGTTACTATCAAATTAAAAAAAACATTGAAAGCTTCGAGTGCTAACACAGATTTTTTTTTTTTTATTTCATTAGGTTTTTTTTTTTGGGGGGGGGGTCAAAAAATAACATTAAATATTTTAAAGTAAAACTTCTTCCAGTCCAAGCAACTGCCTTCAGTGAAGCTATTTTTTTTTGCCAAAGACATTCTTTTACAACAAAAAACAATACATTTATATAAAAAAGAAAGCTAACTTTTAAAAGCTAATTCATAACTGTCTGTGTGCGTGATGTGTGCATGAGCACGATCTAGATATTACGATTAGTCATTCAGGCCATTTGAATTTTGCCTGACTTATAATAACTACTTATTATCGCGTTCGAACGATAAAGTCTATGTTATTTGACTTATTACATTAAAGTGAAGATAAGGATCGATCTGAAGACATCTTTAATCAATTAAGCATAAACAATTATGTGAAGAAGGCATAAATCACAGATCCCTTGAAATTTCATAGCTGGGATCAGGTGATTAAGAGGAGAGAACATTCCCTCATACCAGCCGTGATCCCTCATTCATGTATTCATCAGTTTGACTGATAAGCCTTAGTCAAATTCAGTATTATAATAAAAGGTTAGGCCTATAATAATTGATATGAAACAAGTCAGCCAAACCCAACCCCATAGTACAAGGTCATAAAAGCGGCCATAGAATTTTACTACAAAAGCGCCGACTTTAAAATAAGTTGTTGAACTCCCTGTAACATAAATTAATTGTTGAGTTATATACCTGGCTTAAAACATTGATAGTGCTTAAAGCAAGGTCTTCAGAAGTAAATAAATCTGGAGACATTATTACATCCATGTAAATTTCAAGTGCGAGAAAATGTATGTCTTCATACGATTCTTTACCACATTGCTACTACTTATGTTATTCATTCGACTGACTATCTCGTATTGCGATATATTATCTCTTAAATGCGATTTATTGTCTCGTACATTCGAGATAATAACGTTTGTACGACTTTGTATCTCGAAGAAACAAAATGCAACAAAAATTGACTGGAAACACTTTAGTATTAATGTAGCATTTAAGATTATAAAATAAAAGTTTTTTTGTCAAAACATAAAAAAAAACATGATGTTTAAGAAAAAAAAATAATCATATTTCTAGAAATATATAACTAGGTCATATTAATTGAAAGCATTTTTCTTATCTACCAAAGTGTCTGATATACTTTTATTATTCCATTAATTGTACTTTGTGCGCTAAATAAAATCTTTTAAAAATTTGTTTATGCAATAATCATGGACAGGTAATCATGCTTTATATTCTTTTAAATATACATATTTTTTGCTTCAGAATTGTTTCTGCATAAAATTTGAAAAGGAATTGACTTAAATAGTAAGAATATACTAAAACTGTGAAAACTTGCACAGGGATGGCTCATGAAATATACATATGTATTTAGTATTATAATAAGAATAATCCTTAGAAACTTACATGTATAACCATCGCAAGAGAACTTGTGATTTTTTGCAATGTTATAGTCTACTTAAATTAGCTACTTTCATTTTACTGTTTACAACCTAAATTTTGATGAACTCTTATACAATCTTTAATTTAATTTCCAATGTACTATATGCCTTATATATAGCACTCAAAATAGCTGATAAGAATAAACATATAAGAAGTAAGATTATTCCCCAAAAAAGCTAGAACCTTTTTTTTACAAAAGTGTTACTTTCTCTGCAGGAAAAATATTTCAATTTTCTTTTTGAAAAAAAATGGTGCCATATCAAGATACAATATGTACAAAATACATAGCAAAATTTCATGATACCAAATAGATATCCGGTAATAAAATCGGCCATTCCCTTTCTTTCAGTGATAACTTCTGACACCACAATCAAGTTAATGATGGGCATAGCCTTTTCACGTCCATTCACGAAGAACTGTTCCGGAATTTCTGTATCGATTTGTTCTCTTAACGTGTAATGTTGTACTCATGTTTAATTAAAATCCCTCATATGGTTTTAAATGTTTTTGATAAAAGTGGCCACAAACACCCAATCCTACTGCATAAAATAACAGAGGAAATGTGAGTACGTTTAGAAGTGATAATAACTGTGTCATCGGTATTGATGGCGTGGCGTTAATGATGTTTTGTGTCCATATAGATTGTGATTTTTATCAGGTTTGTTTCCTTTATCCAGTTTTAGATTGACACACCAATCTATATCACATAATTCTATACATCCTGCACAGTTCTGGTGCCAAAGGACTTTAATGCACTTTGAAACAGGATTTTAATATCCATCTACATGTTGTGGGAAATGTTAATGGATACAAAAAGCTTAAGAACACAATTAATTTTCATTTTTTTCTGAGCACATCTGATTATATGTATGTGCATATTATTTGATACTGGACTAATATTGAACTCATGAAATCCATGTAAGATATGTTTTCCTAAGCATAACCAATAAAAGTAAAGGACAATCGATGTTGTGTGAGATTGCTAGTTTATGGGCACAATTCGACTAATATTACCATCTGATTTTTTATATCTATAAACCCGGAAGAGAAGGTTGGCTGAAAATTTCTTATCAAGGAAATAGTTTTGCACTAATTGAATCATAAAAAACTGTATTTTGCAAATGAATACAAAAAAGCATATTGAAAGACATCCTTTGATAAATTGATAAACATATTTATGATTCAAATAAAAAAAAATATGTTTGTAAAACACTGATGGCCCATATATTACAGCTTATGGTTAACGTTTCAGTTTTTAAAATGCACGTCAAAATTGGTCAAAATTATTGATATCAAGTGGAAGGTCTTGTCATAAGGAATAGA